AACCGATGCCCGTTGCTTTTTCAAATTTAACCGATGCCCGTTGCTTTTTCAAATTTGAATGATGCAGCTCTTTAGTCTGCATGTATTAAAAAATCTATGCATCCTTCAAATGTGTTCTAAGTAGTTCTAAATAATGTTTTTAATCCTTTATGACCCTTAAATCAACTCTAGTGCCTCATGATATGTGTATATATTTGAATGCACCTATCGTTTGTTTGCCAACAGCCAAAAAAACTCCAAAAGAAGAAGAAGAAGAAGAAATTATCCTGACTCATTGAACCTGGATCGAATTAGTGAGATTGCGTGAATTTAAAAGGTCGTTTATGAAACCGCTTTAGTCCCGATTGATTTGTTAAGTTATTTCAAGTCAGTTTTTGGACTTTAATCCCCGCTTTTCTTAGCGTCTTTTATGAAACAGCCCCCAGCTGTCGTGTGACTCCGTTGCTTGGGTTGTGTTGATTGGTCACAAGTGTGTCTTGTTATTCATTAGTCTGTAGAGCCCTTGTGTTTCATAGTTCTTGGTTTAGGTTTCTCACCGAGCTGTAACTGCAGATTGGTAAGTTTATTGTTTTGGTTCATGTTCGGTTCAGGTTAACTAAGCTTCTACTAAACTTGCTATCAGTTGATAGTTGTTACATTAAAACTCCAAAAACTGGCCAACCAATTTTCTTATTTTATTTGTTTGTTTTTTCTCAAGGTTTTTGAGCCTGTTTAAAAGTAAATCAAATCTGGAAAACATGTATTTTAAGCACCTGATAGCTTTATAGGACTGTTTCTAAGGTTGACAGATTTTATTGATGTTAAGTACAATATTAGTGCAAATGCTTAAGAAAAAGTACTGCAATATTAAATAAAGTGAAATTTAAAAAAGTAGAAATAGCCACGCGATGTTACAAGGATTGAATGGACTACTTTAACGCTTCTTCTCTTTCCTCTCTGGAAGTTTATAATCAGCGTCTTTAACATTAGGTCAGAGACGAGAGCTCATGCGTCACATGACAAAGTCTTTGCTGCCCTCTGGTGGACAACATGAGACACTGACTATAGGGTAAGTCTACAGAAAGTATTGGGCTTTGCCAAAAATGCTCTGTAAGCCAATTAAAAATTAATATTTTATTCTAATTTATTAATGATTTTACCAAAATGTAATCAACTTTTTATTCTTATCCTTTTTTCCATATTTTATCTTTGTTTTTTGTTTTTATTGATAGTGCTGGAGACAGAGAATTCATCTCACTATCAAACTGTTCTCTCTCCCATTCTAGGTGCGCTGATCACGTGACTGGCCAGATCAAAGAGTGACTGCTCAATCTATGTGTATGCTGCATTATTTTCTGCGAAATGGACTAAATGGATGTGTTGTCTTTAGCCAAAACTGCAGTAAAATAATGGTATTCGGTGCTCTATAAAATTTTTCTTTTCATATATATATATATTTTTTTTTTTATATATATATATTTTTTTTTTCTTTACACATCACTAAACAGAAGTTGATTACTTAACAGTAAAGTAAGGAAGCACACACGCTGAGATGCACTGAAAGTGAATGACCCACTTTATTTCGAAAGTGGATACAGTATGCAGTGCAACACTCTTACTTTTTGTTTTATTTTTGATACAGTATTTACATTTATACATTGGGAAAATATAAGTGTGTGACAAGGAGATGTGGACAAGAAGAGCTACATGATCCCAGCTCTGCGCCAAGTCAGTCATCAAGCCAAGAAAGATCCCACCCTTCTCCTTGGAATGAAGTCCTGCGAACCCCGTAATCCCACAGGAGCTCCTCGCTGACGGCAATGTCCTGCAGAGCGAAGAAGAGAACGCATTCCCTGGGACCATCCAGAAATTTTAGAGAAACTCTCTGAGGCCGCACACTGTTTTTGCTGCAGGAATGGTTCATCCTCCTCCCATAAGTCTCCTGGTCTGGGTGGCAGTCACAGGGGAACTTCTGGGCATCGATGCAGAGAGGCTTGCCACCCTTGCCCTTAAAGAAAAACAGGTATGACGGCTCCCCGGTGAGGGTCTCCAGCCTCCGCTCCCCTTCCTGCTTGGAGACCACTTCACCGTGGTAGTCACACACGACCTGGTTCCTCTTGAACTCCATGGTGGCAATGACCCCTGCACAAAGGTAAATGAACGTGTTATTGAGCAAACCGCTTCACTCTTTACAAAAATAAAATAAGATTACAATCGTGTTCAAAAAGTGGGTAGTCAAAACTGTGACACCTTTGCCTTTCCCCTCAAAGCTCTTAATGGCCAGCCCTTTCCATTTCTGCTGGACCACGGAGGCAATGATCACAGGATCATTCTCTGCAGCCGATGGCTCCTGGCAGGGCACCCATGCCAGCAGAACACTGTCCACGGAGGGCACGTTGGTGGTCCACGCATTCTCCTTGGCAATGGCACGCTGGACGTGAGATGCCAGGGGTTTTTGGCTGGTCCTGCCAGTGGACTGCTCTGGGGAACAGGACTCGGGTGAGTTTTAACCAAACACAGCTCACTTAAAGTAGACCATAATGTGACGGGCACCATTGTAAGCACTTACCAAGAATATACTGTACCCGCAGCTTGTACTGAAGCCTCCTCCAGTAGTGGTAGTAGCTGCGGTCCATAAATCCTGCCTCTGCTGCCTGCGCCCATGTTGGAGGCTTTCCGTGAAGGGTAACGGGAAACCGGTCCTCAAAGGCACCCCAAAACCGAGGAGTCAGGAGCTGGGCTGCTGCGGTAGGTGCTGCTGTCCTGTGAGGAAAAAAAAATCTATTTGTACATCAATAGTTTTACTACAAAGACCATGGTTGAAGTACAGTTAGTGTGTAAAAAAAAAAAATATATATATATATGTGTGTGTGTATATATATGTAAACATTCTGTACCTCTCCGGCATGTGTGGTGCCTCCCCTTCCGCAGATGAGCTGGGGGCATCAACCGTCAGTCCCGCCTGTGGCTCTGGTGGCGGCACAGCTCTCTCCTGGAGCCTCATGACATACCTGCGGACATGCATTGGTGGGAGAAATGAAGGTATAATGTCCGTCATGGCCTGTCGTGAAACCCAACCGTATCCGCATGAAACACTACAATACTTGCTTTTGTCGTAGCCTTTGCACATCGGCTGTCGGGTTGCTAAGAGGGACACCTGAAGCCCCGAGGAAGAACCGGTCCCTGTCGTCTCTGGAGTTTGGGCCTTGAAATATTCTGGCCGGATATGAGCAAAGTAGCAGTCCAACCACTACGGCAAAGATTTACACATATTTTAAGTGTTCGCTGTCACAAAACTGTTAATGAACTGATAGTGTGTTGTGTAGTGTGATCATCTTACATGTTCTTCTTTTCTGCTTAACTCAATAGCTCCTTTGGACAGCGTTACAGTGACTCCGTCTGCCTCCGGCATTCTGTCGTTCCACTCCTGGACCTGTGAAAACATTCAAACAGAAACGATAAGGTTCTGACGTGTATTCTTCAACCTCAGAAGACCATATATAATATAATATAATGTATTATATTATGTGTTTTGAACACGTCTAAAATGTGTCAGCTGTGAGCCCACCTTGAACTCTTTAATGCTGGCAGGACCAAGGTGATGAACCCACATCATTGTGGCGAGACAGAAGCTCCGGAAGTCCGTCTTGCTCTTTGCAGGGACCCCCTTATGTTGGCTGACCCCCTTGCAGCGCTGGAGGAATCAAAGGGTCCATGACTATGGTATGACTATCACACCCCTGTACAGTCTATTACACCCATCACAAATGAATTACAATGCCTAACTGACTCTACGTTCACACACTTCCCTACCTGTCATGCCCCTCTTGGATCAAGAATCCCTTTGAGTGGAAGTACTCTGCCAAGGAGTCACAAGACGGGTCCTCCCTGACCAATTTCCTGACCTGTGAGAAATTCATAACCCTCCCCTCTCTTGCCCACTTCTCTTGTGACTCCTTGGCCCTCAGGACTTCCTCCTGGATACGGCCATCCTCCGCATCCCTCAAGCAGGAATTTCTTAAATGATGGTCAATTTTGATCTGGGGCTTAAGACAAATCAAGCAGTGGACCACGCTGCAAGGCTTCCTGTACACAGCTGAAGAACGTCCTGATTATTTCTCAGTAACATAACACGCTTAATACACTGTGCGCTCGGATGAGTTTATTGTGGAAAAATAAAGATATAGAAGCACATACATTTGACTCTCCCTGCCATCTCTCCACAGTGGTATCTCTTCTCTCCAGCTGGTGGACAACTTGAGACACTGACGGTCAGGTAAGTCTTTACGATCAGTTGAACTTCAATTCTAATTAGCTTAATTTACTGTTATCCATATATTATCTGATAAGTAACCGTTTGTTCTTTTTGTGTTCTTTTCTCTGTCATCACAAGTGAACAGATTCGAGTCGGTCCTCACCAGAGGCAATTCAGCAAATGTGTCCAGGGGTAACAGGTGGAGGCGTACCTGGTGTCTGGCCCACCTCTGAACTTGCACCGGTCGAGCAGCGGAACCACAACAACACCAACTTGCCCAGCAGGAACAGGTAGTGTTCAGCAGAAATGGAATTGATGTACAAAAATGGGAAAGGTTCTTCTAAGCAGTGTCTAAGGAAAAAGAGGCCTGTTTTTTTTTTTTTGTTTTGTTGCATTTATAGTCACGATCTTTTTTTTTTTTAGTTCATATAGTTAATGATTTGTTTTTTTTAATGTTTGTATTTTTATTTCAGTTTGTCAGTTGATTTGTTTTTGTTTTTTTTACCATCAGTTTTACGTCAATCACTTTATAAATGCTTTATATTATTTTATTTATAGTTCCTGTTTGTATCTTTTAGTAATGCGGCTTCTTGATTTAAAGTATATAGC